ATTATAGCCTCCATAACTTTACCAGTTATACACGTTTCACTGTAGTTTCACTGTAGTAGTGAAATAGTTGATATTTATTATTACTTGCACTTTTTCCCACACCCCACTATCCATATTACATACTGTGTATGGGTGTACATAGGCACTACTGTTGTATTTAGTGTTTTATCTTATTTTTTATTTTTTTCTTGTATTCTTATTCTTGTATTTTTATATTCTTGGATTACTCTTGTACTCTTTTCAGGCTATCTGTCTAGAGCTGTGGTAACGCACAAATTTCCCCACTGTGGGATCAATAAAGTCCTATCCTATCCTATTGGAGTATTGAAATGTCACCCTCTAGTGGTCAATATATAGCAAGGCAGCCACACAGGAACTTCACTTTCACAGCCAAGGGCAGCTTTAGGCCTGGTAGCGCCAAGACGTAGGTGATGGCTCTGGAATGCCTGTGCCGCCCACTCAGCCTATAAAATATGTCATTTAGGGCCACCCACGTCACCAATGGCCTTCTGTAGGTGAATGTGTCAGTATGGAATGTCACGGTCTGTAGCTCCGTGCTTAATCTGTGTTGTAATGTTCCGATTGCAAATTTGCCTTCCATACATTTATTGGCCAAGGGAATTTTAAAAATCTTTCTAATGTCATGCAGTTTGTCTAGAATTCCTGCAAACCCCGGAAATTCACTACGGAGGAGCAGGATTGCAAAACCACCGGCTTCCCCTGGTCTCCATGGGCACCGGGCGTCGCCATCCTGACGGGTCAGTACCAGGCACCCACTGCACTCACAGGTCCTCCCTGAATGTCACACACGGCGAGTGCAGCTTCTCCAAACCCCCCGTGACCAAGGATGGGTTACTGCACGGGCCTACCGGGCCCGGGCCCAGAAGCCCAAGGCGGCCCTGAAGCCCAAACCTCCGTGCTGCCATTTCACTATTGTTTTTACATATTATGCATCTCGATATTATATTGGGGCCCTGAAGCCATATAACACTGGTTATATAATTTAATATGCCACAAGTTTTGTAATTCATCCCTGATATGCGAAAGGGGCCCCTCAATCAAATAGCATGGTGTGTGATATGTCATATAGGGCCCCTGAACCACAGGTTGTGTATGTTATTCATCCTTGGTATCGGAAAAGGGCCCCTCAATTAGGTTATATGTCATATGGGGCCCTGAAACAGGGGTTATGTTAGTCATCCCTGGTATCTGGAAGGGCCCTTCGATTAAATAGCATGGGGTATGATATGTCATATGTCTTCATAGGGCCCCTGAACCACAGGTTGTTATTCATCCTTTATATCTACAAGGGGCCTCTCAGTCAAATAACGTGGGGTATTAGATGTAAATGTCACATGTAGGCTACCCCTCTATCTGCTTCATTAGTGCGCAGGTCCAGGGCCGGTTCTGGAGGGGTATCAACGGGGGCGATTGCTCCCGGGCCCAGTCTGGAGGGCCCGGGGGGGCCAGAAAAGAATAAAGATTTCTCTCTGATCCTGCATTAAATGCATCGCTGAGTGCATGGCTTCCACACCATAGGCTAATTTGCCCTGCCATTGTCTAAATATGGAACGTAAAAAATATTTCCGCCAATGCAACACATACTGAAGTTCAAGTCAGTCTCTTCTGTTTGAATTACTTTTAATTGCTTCAGTATGTTAATACCAGAGGCAGCTACAAGGGAAGCTCTGCACCCCTAAAATGTCATCAAAAAGTTTGTGAACAGGTTAAAACGTGTGTAGTCGCTTGAACTGTCACTTAACATCTATATTGTTTGATAAAATGTTTTGTGTTGGACACTGAGCCTCTGTATGGTGATTGGACGAGCTACCAGTAAGGTGGACCTCTGATTGACAGCGTTCTGTTTCACGCATTGTTCCGGTTTGGTGCGGCTGGGCTATTAGCTCGGCGATAACGAACAACAGTGGGACAGCGTGTAGAGAATGACAAATTTACTTTCCGTGTTGTTAATATAACTAAAAAAAACAACGCGCACACGCACACAAATCAGCAGGGGTACAAAAGTGGCGATAGAAACTATACATTTTTATTCAAAGATGAAACAAGAAAGTTTCTGCTGGCTTTCTCTGATGGCCATCGAGAGTGAGCTGACAGTCGTTGGACTTCAATGACATTATACATGAATTTGCGCAGTGCAAAGTCCGGAACAGATGCATTTAATATGTGGATAGAAATGAGCGATTTCTTGGTTGACAGTTATCCGTATGTTATACGTTATATATAAGTTTCATATCAGATTCTGTGAGTTATTTGTTCAAAAAATTATGTTTTCTGAATAAAAATGTAGTATAGCTTTTAGTGCAACCTTTGTACCACTGCTGATTTGAGTGCGTGCATTGTTTTATTTATTTTTTGGCGGGGGGGGGGGGGGGGGGGG